AAATCTCTGTCACACCAGAACAAAACCACCAGCTTATTTTGTATTCTATATTGCAAAAGACTGACATAAGATATGTGACAATGCACAGTAGCCAGCAGGTCTCTTAGGTGGTTTCAGCAGCAATGAGAAATAATGCACGATTCAGTTCCAGCACTTTATTTCACAAGAAACTTCCAGCTTCCCTGCAAGATGCAGGGTGAGGAGGGTACTTTGGGGTTGCTATTGGAGAGGCATTCAGTTTGCCACTTTGTGTCACCCCTTGCCATTCTTTTGTCCCCAGTTAATTATTATCTGCATATAACATAAATCTGCTAGACCATAAGTTAACAGCTTTCAGGACAGAAGCCCTGAAAGTTCTTAGGGAGGTTAAACAAATATTGTAGCCTAAAACCTCCTCTTTAACAAACACGCACACAATGGAAGTGAAGGCGTGCGTTAGTGAGTGATGGGGCAGGAAGGATTCGGGGGCTCTCCTTGCCCCAAACAAATTGAAATTGTTACTTAGTGGGATTGTGGGCTTTCATCTATTCTAGAAAACAAAGAGAAATACTATCAAATGCCGTAATAGTATAGTCTGTTTTCTCGCTGGACAAATATCAACAGGATCCACCGTTTTACCACAATTGTTTCTCTGCCTTCATGTGGTAGCTACATAATTCTTTCTCCAAATGAGGAAAACAAGTAACAGGCCAGTCTGAGCAATTAATTGAGCTCTCCTCCTACGCCACCAAACCTCTGCGAATACAAGCTTTCCAAATTTCATGATCACATTTGAAAGTGGTTCGCTTCTTACTGAGAGAAAACTACCAAACCAAACCAAAACATACCAAAAAAATCCTTGATTTTACCATACCCCTAAGCTAATCTTTGATTTTTCTAATGTAGAATTTAAAAAAAAAATGCAAAAGAATTATTCAGCAAAGAGAGCTCTCAAATTTTCATCAGTTTCATTATCTGAAAAGGGGGGAATTTTTTTTTTTTTAGTTTCAGGTGTAATCTTCTGATTTATCATAATTCCAAGCCACATTCTTTTCTATTTATTCTCTTTAAAGAGAGAGGAAACTGTTACAGCCCAAAGTTATTTAATTAGCTCTTTACCTCCATGAAGGAAGGGAAAAAAAATAGAGTTCGACTAATATAGGTGATGAAATACAATGAATAGAAACAGTCACGTTTTAATAAAAGGCAAACATTTGAGATTTATAAGCTCTATCGTAGCTTTTTGGAGGGACATGTGAAAAAATATAGCATCTCCTATTGGCACAACACATTCTGATCAAAAACCTCATTGCCCTTCCCTACAATTATAGAATGA